GGTGGTGGTGCTGCACTGCGGACGGTATGGTTGTCTCCGAGCTGGTTGGTTGCGGCTGGAGGCCTAGTGTATAGGGTTGTCCGCAGGTGCATTTTGGATCGTTTGTGGGTGCCTTTGAAGACCAACAACAATTCTTTGGTTTCGTTAAGGAACGGTTGATGTATGTTAAAATGTGAAGTTGTTTATAAAAGGCCATGTTGGCCATTTACTCTAAATGGTGTCATGTTTTTTGTAAAGTTTATTTGGTTATGGGGGGTGTGGAGTGGTATGGTTAGGTAATGGCGGAAGTAGGAGTGGACAAGCCTATCTATGATGCACTAGTCATGCTATCACATTTGGTATTTGGATATGCTGTTGAGTGAAGCTGTGACTATGGATTCTTGATATTTGATTTGAATCACTAAGCACAGTTAGATGAGTTTTTTTAGTAGGTTTTAATCTTAATTTGAGTAAATTATTTCATAGAAATATGCCCCAAAAAATAGAACAGATTTGATGTATTTGATGTAAGTGGGTTCAGCAGGCCATGGTTTAAAGGGAGAAAACTGTCAGGTTTTAATATCAAAATCAAATCAAAATTAGAGTGTAGAATAAAACTACCGGTAATCAAATTGTTCAGGATCGATGCACATGATGCAAGCAGATTTTGTAAGCCAAGTTTCAGAGGGTCACACCAAAAAGGTTTTAATATTTCCCATTGGGTTCAGCAAATGTCCAGCGAACTTAACTACTCAGTTTGCTTATTACTATTTGCAGTGTATCTAAACCCAATAACAAAAATGTATTTTTTAGCTTACTAGTATTTGGATGTAGTACTGTAGCTGCACTAGTTTTTTTTTTCTTTATTTTTACCTCATCATGCTACCTCCTTTCTAAGGGTGACAGCATTCAATCACCAAACTGTATTTATGGAGGAGTAGATTTGTAACTCTAAGTCCCTGTCCTCTACTACTTCATAACATGGGGGGTCCGTAATCCTTTAGAGACTGCTAGGAACAATATAACTAAAAAGACTGTAACACTGGTAAAGAGCAAAGGAAATTATTATATGACATAATTTCTGGCAGAATCAATAGATATCTTGTACACTTATTGAACTGACAAATCAAAATCCTTTGTACATTTAAAATACCATAATGCACCTAAGAAGAGAAGTCACTGGTTAGGGCTTACATATCTTTAAACCACCCTTACCGTTCTTTTTATTAGAGATGAAAAAAAAGTATCATAAATGTTAACCATGGTTGATGTCACTGCATATATGGAAAGATAATACACAAATCACAGGTTACAGGATACAAACCTTGTAGAGATGCATTGTTAACACGTGGCATCACACGTGTGTCAAGAACACTGAGATGTACAATCCTACATTAAATACCTTGAGTAAGGGGGACATCAGGATTGTAGTCTTTATTAGAAATATAAGAGAAAAATAATAGGGGTAACTAATAGCTGATAAACACAAAGAGAACTTTAAGACCAATGTGCCTAATTAAGGAGTCAGTGTGAGTAGTAAGATAGAACAATTAGGGTTGTTAACCACTGCAATACAGGCACTTTTACCCCCTTCCTGCCTGGACCAATGTTCAGCTTTCAGAACTCTCATACTGTAAAAGTGTCTGGACAGGAAGTGGTTAAATGACAATTGCACAGTTATGCAACTAGTGCTTCCTTTTGGTGATATTTAATAACCACTGAGGTTTTCATTTTTATTTTTTTTAATTAAAAGTTTAAAAAAAAACATCTTTTTCTTTGTTTCTGTTATAAAAGTTTGCAAATAAATAACTGTTCTTCATAAATTTAGGCCAAGATATATTCTGCTGTTTCTTTGGTGAAAATAACCCAAATCAGTATTCATTATTTAGTCTGTAGGAAAGTTAGAGTTCACAAACTATGGAATATACCTGAAAATTGATCAATCCTGAAGTACTGACGGCCAATCTAATTTCTTGAGGCCCAAACATGTCAGAACAGTACAGATATCGCCCAAAATGATCCCTTTTTTTCTTTTTTAAATATTTTTTTCATATTACACTATGACCAAAGTAGTATAATGTTACCATAGTAACATTGTACTACTTTGGGGAAGTGATCAGTATTTTTTCTTTTTACACGATATGATTGCTTACTGTATAGCACAGAATTCCTTTGCTATAAGCAAACATTTACCTGAATGAAATCAATTCATTCAGGTTTTTTTGTTGTGATTAGCTGTGGTTGGCCACTGCTAATTACATGACACACATGGGTTATGATTGGCCCAGTCTGTGCATGTGATCACTGTGACCAATCAAAGCTAGTGACATAATTGTATACAATGGATGGAATGAAAGGAAGCCATCCATTGTTTACATGTCATGTGACCTGCTGTGATTGGTCACAGCAGATCACATGGTACTGGCAACGGGCTGGTACAAAGATCTGTCATCAGCTGTGTCCGAGGTACACAGCCGGAGACAGATCTCACCACGGCATGGCCCTGTGGGCATGCGCAAGGTTTGATCCGGGAAGGACGTCATATTATGCCCACCCGGATCATTTTGCTATTGGCCAGGCGGGAACTAGTTAAGCCAGGTGCTCTTTAACCAGCTTTGTTCCAGGAACAGTAACATATGATTTGGCATGTGTCATTTCAACTATAATCTTGAAAATAATTTTGGCCTACAATTATGTCAAAAAACAAAAACATAGCATAATAATTGGTAATACCCTTTGGGGAAGTAGCTGAGTTAAGTTGTGCTCAAAAGTTTGCATACCCTGGCAGAAAACATGAAATTTTTAGCACTGATACTGAAAATATGACTGATCTTGCCAAAAAAATATTTTATTTAAGGATAGTGATCATATGAAGCCATTTATTATTCCATAGTACTTTGACTCCTTTTTAACCACTTCCCGACCGGCCGTTGCATAAAAACGGCTGGACGGTGGCAGTACAGGGTGGGGTGGCCGTTTATGAACGGCCTCCCCGCACCCTGCTTGTGCGCGCTCCCTGGGAGCGCGCAGCACCGCGATCCGGTGCCCGCTGTGTCCTCCGGACACAGTGAGACACCGATCGTCGGACGGGACCTCTGTACGAGGTCCCGATCATGTGATCACTGATTGGCCAATCAGTGATCACATGCAAAGTAGTAAGCAAGATGTCACTTGTGACATCATTGCTTACTACGTGTGAAATCTGTGAATGATCACAGAGGTCACATGGTACAAGGCTATTCACAACAGCCTTGTACCATGTGACAAGCTGTGACCAATCACAGCTCACTCTGTATTTCTCAATGAGTGCAGGAATGCACACAGAGAGAAAGAGAAATGATTGCTTTTACATCCTATATGGGTGTAAAAGCAATCATTGTAAAAAAAAAAAAAAAAATCTTCATCACCCTCCACAAGTAGTACAGTGTCACCATGGTGACACTGTACTGCTAGGGTGACAGCATGTAAAAAAAAAATATACAAAAATAAAAAATAATATAAAAAAATAAAATAAAAATGTAAAAAAAAATGTTTAAAAATTATAATTTTTGGTTATAAACAAATTTGTTTTTGGTTTTTTTTTTTTTTTACTAAAAAGATAACGAAATACATTTTGGCAAAGATTTATGATGAAATATTATTTATTTGCAAAATTTTATAAAAAAAAACACTTTTGTTCAAAATTTTTGGACTTTTTCATTTACATAGCAAAAAAAATAAAAATCCCAGCAGTGAATAAATACCACCAAAATAAAGCATTATCTGTCGCAAAAAAAATGGTAAAAAATTAATTTGGTTACAGTGTCGCATGACTGCGCAATTGTCATTCAAATTGTGATAGCGCTGAAAGCTGAAAATTGCCCTGGTCAGGAAGGGGGTAAAAGTGTCCGGTCTGGAAGTGGTTAAATCATAATGATAACATAGATCACCCAAATGGCCCTGATCAAAAGTTTACATACCGTGGAATGTGTTGCCTTGGTACAGACACACAAGGGTTCAAATGGCAATTAAAGTGTAATTTCCAACATCTGTGGCTTGTTAAGTTGCAGTTTTTGTCTGTGTATAAAAAATCAATAGGTTTGTTAGTTCTCACATGGATGCACTGAGCAGGTTAGATACTGAGTCATGGGGAGCAGAAAAGAACTGTCAAAAGACCTGCATAACAAGGTAATGGAACTTTATAAAGACGGAAAAGGATCCAAAGCCTTGAATATGCCAGTCTGTACTGTTCAATCACTTATTAGAAGTAGAACATTTTGGGCTCTTTTGATACTAAACCGAGGTTAGGTAGACCAATAAAGATTGCAGCCACAAATATCAGAAGAATTGTTTTGGATACAAAGAAAAACCCACAGGTAACCTCAATAGAAACAGAGGCTGCTCAGGAAAAAGTGTGGTTGTTTCAGGGAACACAATACGACAATACTTGAACAAAACTGAGCTGCATGGAATTGCCAGAAAGAAGCCATTATGGTGCCAATGCCACAGAAAAGCCTGGTTTCAATACACCAGACAACACCTTGACACGCCTCATAGCTTCTGGCACACTAAAGTGATGAGGCCAAAGTAGAGATTTATGGCCATAACCATAAGTAACCATAAGTGCTATGTTTGGAGAGGGGTCAACAGGGACAAGAATACCATCCCCACTGTGAAGCATGATGATGGCTCACTGATGTTTTGGGGGGGTGTAAACTTTAAAGGTATGGGGAATCTTGTGGAAATCGATGACAAAATGAATGCAGCATGTGATCAGAAAATACTGTCAGACAATGGTTTTAATGGTTGAACTGAATGGACTTTTGTCTCTTTTCAGCCAGACTAACTATGTAACAATTTGCATTCTTCTGCATAAAAGCTGCACAATGGATGCTCTTGGACTTTTCAGCATGACAATGGCCCAAAATACAATGCTAACTTAACTCTCTAGTGGCTACAGCACAAAAAGGTGAAGGTTCTTGATTGACCATCACAGTCTCCTGACCTTAAAGTGTTACTAAACCCACAACAGTAAAATCAGTCTTCCCTTCTTCCAGTGTCCCCATCTTATCTCCTGATAAGATATATCGTATGGAGACACTCTTCACATGTTCAGTTTGGTGTGTATTGCCAGAGAGTTTTTTTTTTCTCTTCGGTGAGTGCATGTGATCAGCACAGGGACAGTCAGCACTGTAAAACAGAGGTCAGGAGTCCTGCATCCTCCTAGAGCAGAAAGAAAACTTCTCCTACAAGATTTAACAAGTGCTCTGCTGAACACTGATAGAAGTCACAAGACTGCTCTAACTGCTGATGAGAAAATGTATTTAGCAGTTTATATTTACTAAAATAATTGCATTTCCACATTCTCTGTACTGTGGGAGACCAGATATAGTGAATGCAGGGCACTGGGTTTAGTAACACTTTAATATCATCAAGCCACTCTGAGGAAATCTCAAACATGTGGTTCACGCAAGACGACCAAAGACTTTGCATGACCGAGAGGCATTTTACCAAGACGAATGGGCAGCTAAACTACCTGCAAGAATTCTGGGCCTCATAGACAACTATTACAAAAGACTGCATGCTGTCATTGATGCTAAAGGGGGCAATACTCAGTATTATGAGCTAAGCGTATGCATACAGGGATCTTTTCATTTTTTTAATTGTTACCATGTTTTTTATTATATGATTGTGCCATTCTGTTATGAATCCCATAAGGAATGTGTTTTACCTGCTCACTCATTTATATATATATATATATATATATATATATATATATATATATACTGTACATATATACCGTGTTTCCCTGAAAGAAAGACCTATCCCGAAAGTAAGACCTATCGGTACTTTTTGACGTACCGCTAATATAATCCCTCCCCTGACAATAAGACCTACCTCCACCAGGGACGGACTGACCATTTGGGCACTGCCCGAGGACCCGGGGTCACTGCAGGGCTCCATGAGAGGCTCAGTCCGTCCCTGTATGTGCCACTGCTGAAATAAGCAAGCATTGAGGGGAAGGACAGTGAGGCAAGCACTTTGGACACCTCTCCTCCTTGGAGTTTTAACAGAGGGGCGGGTCCACATCCCTGCCAGGGGTCCTGAAGTCAGAGTGCTGGAGGGGCGGGCAGAGTATGCAGCAGGTAAGTATGTAATCCCAACCCTGGTGACAGCACTGCAGCTTCATGTAGTAGGTAGAGGGGGGGGAGAAAGAGGGCAGAGAGAGAGAAGACAGAGAGAGGGGGGGGGGGCTTGCTTTAAAACGTATCTTTTAATGGAGCTGGTGGAGTGATCAGTTAGGTTGCAAGCCGACATTCCCCGCAGGATGGATCAGATCTGCGGATTGGGGAGGCTAATGGATCAGACTCTGATCCATTATGCTCAATCTGCAGATCCGATCCATCCTGCAAGGATCATCGAAGGGGGTGTCACCAAGTGAATAAAAATAAATAAAAGTCAATAAAAATAAGACCTACCCGAAAATAAGCCCTAGTGCATTTTGTTTACCTAAAATTAATATAAGACACTGTCTTATTTTCGGGGAAACACAGTATATATATATATATATATATATATATATATATATATTACACAGTACATCTGTATTAATAAACAGCCGATAGGATACTTGTATTTTGTCATTTGGGATTCATAAGTAACTGCACTACAGCAATCATATAGACCAATATGGCTATAGCAGTGCTTCTATTACAGTACCTAGCTAAATCAGATTCTATATTGACAAACAGGTCAGTACTATTCTACTATTAGAAAAATGACTTTCTTTTATACAGAAGAATATATTAAAAAATGCTACAATGAAATACCTTACCTTCTGAAATCTAGATATATCTTGTCACATTTAAGTGAGAACCAGTATGAAGCATGCTAGGGATATTTCACTGCTGTCTTCTTGTCAACTTCTAAGACACTTGCGTTTGTAATGAATAACAATGTTTTTTCACAGAGGCATGAGAAGAAAACAGGGATATGATGAGGCATAGAATTTTCACCGCAAGTTTGAATTGTGATTAAGAATAAGGTAATGTTGACAATGAAAAACATTTTCTCCTAAAAAATAATAATAGTACATGAAAAATGGGAAAATATTAAAACAATAAATATGAAGAGCACACGCAAAAAAAATAAATAAATAAATAAAATTTGGATGTGAAGCCCACTCATTTTGTTGTTAAATGCAAAATCAGTCAAAGCAAAAGACAAAATGATCTACTCTGTGAAGTCTTCATGCTAAAATGTGATACAGCCAATACAATCTTACCTAACACAAAAAAAGCCAAAGGTGTTTTACTAGAATGAGAAAACTCATACACTGAACCCATACTGTTGTTTATTTGGTCCCCTCCACAGATAGCCTTGAATTCTTGCACAATATGAAAGGTGTTCTGTGGGCAGAGTGGCAGGAGTGGGCAGAATGGCTGTTGTGGGCCATTCAAGAGCCATACTTTCCAGAATTAGTTAAAGTGTAAATAATTAGGAAAGGCCAGTGATACTGGTGGTGGAAAACACCTCATGAGAGTTACTTATTACACGTTAATGAAAATTTTTGTATGGATTTCTGCTATAAGGATAAGTTCACATTTTGGCCAGAAATAATAAATATATTTTTTTTTGCAGGTAAAAAAATGTGCATTTATTATTTTTGAATGCAGGAGCCTGTAAATTATTGCACAAATGATCAGCAGATCGGTGGTGCCATGCAGATCTTTTGCAGACCTTAAAGTGTATCCTCTTGCCCTTATGGGATGTACTTGCAAGCAGATACAGTATACTGACAGGAAGATACATTGAACTACCACGGTGCTAAGGCTATCGAAACTTTTAGTTAATTTATTCACAGAAGACTGTGAATGAATGATGAGGCCGGGTGGGCAGAGCCCCACACAGCCATGCTGTTTTTATTTTCCAATATTTTTTATTGAAAGTTTTTCAAATAGCGAATAGTACAATAGACAAATGTCATGTCATAAAAGTAGGTGTCAAACAGCACAAAAAACCCACATGGTTTAACCAACAGAGGACACACATTGGGAAACCAGAGAATCTGTGTGAAAACAACTGGGCAATTCAAATAGAGAGTTTCCATCATTAATCCAAGGCAGGGGGAAAAGGAATGCTAGAGAAGGGCGGAAAGCGAGGTCAGGGGACGTAATAGAGGGGGAAGGGAGGGAGAAACTCATTGTTCGTAAACCTAAGAATACACACAGAACTAGTGTTGTTGGAAATGTGACAGACATTGTAGAGCGAATAGGGAGTAGTATCAACTAGCCCTAGAGAACACAAAAAAAAGGAGGAAAAGTAAGAAAAAGAGGTAAACAAAAACAATAAAAGGAGAGGGTCAAATCTGGAGACCTCAAGGCACGGAAATGTATTGAATCAACGGGTTCCACATTTTATCATATTTTTTATTATTGTTGTGTAGAATACAGGTGAGTCTGCCATTAATCATGATCCAGTTCAATTTATTCTTAACATATTCAAGCGGAATAATTGATCTCTTCCAATATCTAGCAATAGTAATTCTCACTGCCAACAGCATATAAGTGAGCTATTTAAGAGATTTTTTTGGAATCATATTTGGGAACTTATGAAAGAGGCCTTCTCTGGGGATCTGGAAACATTCACCCCTGTCACCATGTAGATAAAGTTAAACATACGAATCCAAAATCTGATTGCTATCGGGCATTGCCACCAGACATGATACATAAAGACCATCTAGCCGCAAAGTCGAAAACACATCAGTGAGGTGGATGGATGCATCCTCACAGTCTGACTTGGGACCAAATACCATCGCAAAAGAGTTTTATAATTTGCTTCAATTAAGGTGGTGTTGATGGAAACTTTAGATTATGCCAAGGACTGTCTTGCCAATCAGATAGATCGTAATTAACATTCAGGTTCCGTTCCCATTGATTCATATAGGGAAGTTTACAACTCGGATCAGCAAGAAGGGTGTATACCATAGAAATACGGCCTCTAGAGAAATTATTATACTGGCAGGAAAGTTCGAAATTGGTAAGAAAGGGTGGTCTGACTAATAATGCAATTTTTAGAGCTGATAAAACAGAAAACTTGATTGTATCTAAAGATTTCGGTAGGGGGCATCTGCAATTTATTTTTAAAATGTTGGAAAGAGTAAATTTGGTCACCCTGAAGGTAGTCTCCCATCCGCAATAACCCCTTATTGATCCACCACTGGAATGAGGTCGGAACTAGACCAGGTACAAATTCAGGATTAGAAAAAACAGGTGCTATAGGCGTATGCGAGGAAGCTAATGGTTTGCGATGGTGTACTCTATCCCAGACTGTCAACAAGAAATACAGAGTGGGACATAATATAGGAGGGCGGGATCAATTAGGGAGCCAAAGTAAGGAATTGACCGCTAAAGGATGGTAGGAGAGAGCTTCAATAGAAACCCAGAGGGGAGCAGATCCTTTAGCGGTAGTATAGGCCAGTTGAGCAATTTGGGCAGTTTGGAAATATGCTTGAAGATTAGGGAGGGCAATCCCACCTTGTGATTTTAAAGTGTATAGTGTCTTCTGGTTCATCTGAGGTTTTCTATTGTTCCAAACAAAATGAAGCACCTAAGCTTGTAGGTGTTGAAACTCATGTCTCGGAATTGGTATCGGTAAGATCCTAAAATAACATAGCAAACGAGGCAACAACGTCATTTTAATTGAGTTGATCCTGCCATACCAAGATATAGCGTAAGCAGCCCAACGACAAAGATCATCTTCAATTTGTTTAAAAAGGGGGGGATAGTTCGCTCAATATAGGGTCTCAATAGAAGCAGTCAAGTTAATCCCTAAATAGGGCAAAGAATTGCGTGCCCATTGAAAGTTATATGTAGTTTTAAGCTGTTGTTCTATAAAATAGGGGAACGACACATTAAGGGCTGTTGTTTTTTGAGAATTTAAGGAAAGCCCAGAAAGTTCAGAGAAGTGGCGCAAAAGAGATAGTAAGTTAGGTATGTTGGTTAAAGGGGATGTAATATATAAAAGGACATCGTCAGCAAATAGAGAGCATTTATGTTCCTGTCAGCCACACTGGACACCATGAATTTAAGGGTGAGAATGGATCTCCATAGCTAAGGGTTCAA